CAATCTACATGTAATATCAGGGCGGACATCCACTTTAATAGCAATTTGCTGTAAAAGAAACCAGAAAAAACAAAGGAGCAGATGGGTACAAGTTTGAACAAACTTGGACAAATTTCGGAATTGCCAATTGGTTATGATATCTGTGTGATGTAGTGTTTGATAACTCTACCATTTTGTTTCAACAAATCTAATGGATTATTCCATGAAAACTTCAAATTAAAATATTCCTAACTAGCAACAAAATACTGAAGAAAAAAAAACAGCACAGAATTTGTTTTTCTTTTCCTTTTTTTTCCAACTCTGAATATATATTTTAATTATCCTTTGTTCCAAATCCTTAACCTGTAATATATTAATTTATATTTTCCATTTTTCTCATATGATTTTTGTTTGCATGACCAGGGACTTCTCCTCATCTCGGTTCACCCTGATCTTCCCTTCCGTTTGCTCACAGGATAGAGAAAAAGGGTTAACAAAGGAAGATAATTCATTGAAGAAGAGAGAAAGAAAAGAAATAAATGCAATGGAGGAGACTTATAAGACGGGGTGGGGAGGTGGGAAAGGGTGAACCAATATAAAGAGGGAATGATAGAAAGCAGGACAAACGGGATGAGCTCAACATTTACTCTATACATGCTATGCAAATAATGTCCCTGTTCCACTCTGACTTCAGTATTATTCAACAGTTCCCAGAGCAAGATTAATTTTATACTGGTGGTATCAAAACGGCTGTCATGGAGCTAATTAACACCAGAAATGTGTATTTGGCATAGACATTGTGTTGCTCAAAGCAATGTTTACGTCAATTGATGCCTATTGTTTTGTGCAAAATTGCACGTGTGGAAAACTATTGACCATGCATAGAGGTGAAGAAAGCAACCAAACAGTTAAAGATTAGAGAGGCATGTATTCACAGAAATAAAGAGGGGGGGGTGAGAATATACTGTAACAATTGTTAAAAAAAGGCCTGAAATCCATTAAAACTGATTTGCTCATTCATCTTGCTGTCATGTCATGTCAGAGGTTGTAACAATCATATTTTATTACAGTAATAAATTCTCATAGATGTGGGTACAGTCTTAAATATATGATCTTTGTCCTTTTCCCTGTTTGGTAAAAGCTGTATGATGTATTGTACATTGTAAAGGCTACTCACTCTAAGCAAACAATTTTGTGTATTTGATCTGTGACTGATCTGTATTTGTGGAAGTAAAGAATATGAAGTTTGAAATTGATTCAAGGGAAACACCAATTTCATTCACGAATGTACATGTCATGCAAGGGATATACTGATTTATACCTGTCAAAACTTTTGCTATATTATACAAGCGTGTAGCTATGATTTTATTTTAGGGGGGGTGCGGTAGTGAGCACGTGAAGCGTGCGAATCACATACAGATTTCGTGCTCCCTAGGGGGGTAGGTGAAGTGCGGAAGCTTTGACGTTTCATTAAATTATTAGAGAAAGAACTTAAGAAGACAATTGTTGTACCATTCTTGACTCTTAATCCTTGTCTTAATTCAGTTCCCCCCCCTCCGCGCGAAGCTTTGAAGTTTCATTAAATTATTAGAGAAAGAAGACGATTCGTTGTACCGTTATCGACTCTTAATTCTTGTCTGAATTTTCAAAAATGTTTATGTCTGCTCCTTTTTCTTCCTACGTCTTTTTATTTTTTTCTCTACTCTCTCTCTCTCTCTCTCTCTCTTTGGCCGGCGTTTTTTTTTTTTTTTTTTGGGGGGGGGGGGGGGGGGGGCGACTGCACCCACCGCCCCCCTGACTATGCCCCTAATATTGTATCAAGTCTTTTACTAATTTTGTAGGTAAAGGTTGCTATGTTTCAGTTGAAAGTTGTCTAGTTAATGGTATAATTTTGGAGTACTGTACAATGATATGTTTAGTTATATGTAAGTGTGTTTTAGGATGAAGCCTTCTCTTCATTGGACTATTTCTATAATTTACTTTATGTCTTCTTCACCAAAGTGTTTATGAACTACATGTACAGGGGTGATAAGTTCTGATATGGATATTTTGTTAAGTTGCATTAAATTCCTGATCAACAAAGGGTTACGAATTGAATGAATACGTATTTTCCAAGTGTACCTGGCAACCTCTACATACATTCCTAAGACTAAACTTGGTGTATTAACAAGTGTAATATCCCAATGGCAGTTATTTTATTTTGAAGCTCTATGTACCAATGATGTGGTTCTACAACTTTGCAATAAAATTATGAAGTTCAATAATTATGTGTATTTGCACTCTAGATGCATACTAATAAAGCAGGACGCTTCTTTTTTTAATCATACCAGAGTCATTAAAATGCAGTGCCTGAATGTGTAGAGGGAGATGTACTCTAAAGTTGAACGACTATTCTTCAACAGTGAATTTCCCTTCATTTTGTATGTTGCAGGTGAGGTTGTTCATATTACAGTGCTGACCGGGGAATACACCAGAGTAGGTTCAGCTCGTGGTCAGTATCAATGTTACCCCAGTGATACAGATACAAACGCTACACTATCATTTGGTAGATCAGCACCCATAACAACAGACAGATCACCACCAGAAGATGTGACTCATACAGGAGCTGGCAGTGCATTCATCAGAAAGGTCGTATTCCCTACAGGAGATGGATGGGGTAATGATGGTTTCGGCCCTTTCTACTGTGAGGCTTCTAAACATGATCGAGATGTTACAAGGGTTACTACACTTTTCCAACGACATGATGGTAAGACCATTATTATAATATAAGTATAGGATTTCCTTTTTTTAAAGATGTATTCATTAATGCTTCATAGAATGTATAGTGTTATCTTTTATAGATTCAAGTTTTGTACATGTATAATTCATGTAGTGATGTACGTTATACAATACATGAAATATCCAAATTAATCTCAGTTTAAATCCTGAATTGCTATATACATGTAGTGTCACGCTTTGTAAATGGGCTTTGTAGATACAATTAATCACGATTCCAATTTTTACAACAGATCTATATACATATATTGTAATGAAGAATAAAGAATCGAACATCATATTTGGTTATGCGAGAAAACATTTGAAATATTATTTTTGATTATCAGTTGTTATTTCTAAAATCTTTGCAAAGCGACTTTGCTGTAATGTTTTTTGTTTATCAATAAACCATTATTCTTCTTTAAGAATATAGACTGAGATTATATTGCATTTTGGAGATTTCTCAAACATTAGAGGAACCTCCTTAATACAAAGATATAGCAAGGTTTGATAACAAATCGTGAACATGCACCGTCATATTATTTGTCATGGAACATCACGGAGTATCCTCATTGAAAACACTATTTACACTACTCTAAAAACCTATTAAAAACCCGTTGAAGTTTGATCATATCCGTTGCTGTTGGTGTGTAGTGCGCATGTGCCACTTGTCGGTGCTCTACATGCGTTAGCATGGAAGTGAGATGAGTCACGTAAGCACAAATGGGTATCTTACAGAAGGTTGCATTTGCACTGCAAAAATCTACAAAAAACACAGAGCTGGATTTTTTTTTTTTTTTTATTTTCCTACGTGTTTTGAGCGAAACACTCGAATGTGAGAAAATCAATGATATTTTGTTGCAGTGTAAATGCAGCTGCTAAGGAAAAATAAAAATAAAAGTTCATACTGCAAGACGGTTTACTGAGGTTCCGGAGCGAGGGTGATTCAATAACATGGCTCAACTAATATGATGCTTTTGAGCATTTTTTGCTTGAGAATGGCTAGTACAAAGGTTCGATACTTGTATCTAATTAGAATGAATCTGACGATGCCACAGTAGGATTCGTTTAAGACATGTAAGACTTTTGGGTAAATAGCACAACATTAAAAAAAGTTATCATAAGCAAAGCAGGGAGTTGATCGAGAAGGAGTGAAAACTCTTGTAATTTTTATTCAAACGCATGCGTGAGTTCTAAAGCGTAAAAATGGATGTGTAAAATTCCACTTGGCTTTGAAGTTCCATGCTCCTCCGTCGCTCTTCCACTGCGGGGAACTTCGGAGGCCAGGCACCAGTTTCACATTTATTACAAGATATTAAATTACCGGCAAAATTTCAGTGTAAATTATCAACTTTAAATCGGGATTGTATTGGGAAAAGTGCATCAAACAATTTTTTAAAAGTACTCCGCCCTTCCTATAATTTGTGTGCCAGAGTTGGTCAAAGAAAAATTAGATCCTGACAAAAACTCAATATTTTATGTTAATTCGCCTACTTTCGCATGTTTTAATGTCCCGTCATTTAATTCATGATTTACAATCTTCGATAACTTTAAGTCTGCTAATGCGTGTTTTCGCGTTTAAAAAAATGCATTACACATTCAACAATAATAATTATTGATGAGAAATCATTGAAAGGAACTACGAACATTTGCTGGGATACCATTTTCTGATGTAGAAATTCTAAATCCTGATATTTCATGCGCTCTTTTATCTCACCACCTGGTCAACAGTTGCAGATTAGCGCATAACTTTTCCGCGGCTTGGAGCATGGGGCCAAAGTAAAGCGGCTTGATTCCACTCCTTCTTTATCACCTCCCTGAGCAAAGCATGCACGGTAATGCGTTGGGCCTGAAACATGCCAATTTGTGTTTTTGTTTACTTACGGTACATTTAAATGGACAAATAAAAGTCCAAACAGATTTTGACATACACCAGACTAGATGCCATGTTTTAATCTTGGAAATGATCTAAGCTCGTTATTGAAAAATATTTACAGGAAACGATTTATTTCAATAATGCAAGTGAATATTTTAAATCATATATTTCGAAATACATGTAACATAAAAGTATTATATAAATGTATGATTTCAGTGCACATGCCCTGTAGGTACAAGCATTGTATTAAAGTTAACATTTTTTATTTGGCTAATTTATTATTATCATCAATTTTGACAGCTAAATTCACATCGAGTGATGGATTGTTTACAAAGACAGTTAATGTGAATGACAATGGAGTGATGATCAGCATGAATAGTCTTAATAATCCTGATCTGAGTGACAATGTGATTACTTGGAGGAAAGATGGAAGTGACGTTCTTACATCTTTTGTTGGGCAGACTCAGATCAACTTCCCAAACCCAATCCAGACATCCGACCAAGGAATCTATGAGATCTACTATAATAACGAGAGGGATCAAAATAGAGGAGGATTATACAGACTCATTGTCAGAGGTACATGTACAAGTGTATTCCTGCTTAATTTAGACTGGACTTTTGAGAGGAATCTTTTGTTCCACAAAATTATATTGTTTGTTATGATGCATGTAAAAAGTTTTGATTCATATTTTGCCAAGAAATCTTTATTTTAGATTGATAGGATTATGCAAGTTACATGTGGATGATGATCTATTCATTTATATTTCAATATTGTAAGACCCAACATCACAGAACAGCCTTTAAAACAATACTTTCTAGATAAGCACATTCCATTATACCATGCCGTTCCACTCATATTCAGTAATATCCTTTGACCATGGCCATGAGGTCTTTATGTTTTATTCATGAATGTTGACCATGGCCATATATGGTCTCTAAAGTCTTATGGCAGACCATGGCCGGAACTTTCCCAAAAGTATAAATAGTTTGTGAAATAATTCATGGGGGTTCTTCTCTTTCTCGTCCTCACCACCTTCAGGAATGTCCCTGCCTATTGTAGTCGTATACAGAGGGGTGGCTGCTATATTAAACACGGCACCTTTTCGGTATTATCCTCAATAAAATACCATCCTGAATATTACATGAATTATTTGTCTTGAATCATCTGTATGTCTAGCTAACACTCGCCCTATTAGCCACGATACGATGACTACCAAATATCTAATTTTACAGAGTGTTAATACAATATTGATGAAAAAATGAATGTGAAGATGAATTTGAAAAATTACTCTCCCTATCTCATATTAGAATGCCCGGCTGGTAAGTGGGGTCCCCCTGATTGCTATGGTATCTGTGATAACTGCTACAATGGTGGAGTCTGTGATGACAAGTCTGGTCTATGTATCTGTCCTAACAACTTCAATGGAACGAATTGTTTAGAAAGTAAGTACGGTAGGCCTGTTGGAATGCTGTATTTTTTTCAATCTCTTTATATACAGTGTGTCCCAGAAAAAAACGAAACCGAGAATTTTCGATGTTTTATCATAATTTAATCACAATTGTAATTCATAAATGGCACATATTTGTAAAGCTTAGATCAACTTCTTTAATTTGATGCAACGCATATGATGCATATTTCACGCATGAGTGATTAAAACAATTTAAAGAGAGGAAAGCAAAAAGTCATTTTGCGGGCGGTATCTGAAATTCAAAGAGGAAATTACATTTCTAGGAGGTCCATTTTCTGCCCTTTCATATGACACCTCAATTAGGAAAAATTAGCCAGGAATAACAAAGTTCTGATTGTTTAAAGTAATGCTTGCATTGCCATAATTTGATTAAACGACTTCGTTTTTACTGGCTGCTTGCCGTAGCAATAAACAGAGTTGACAACAGACTTAAAGATAGAGGTATTGATGTGTACTGCAAAGTCTGGAGTCATCAAAATCATAATACATTTGGCCCAGTCTTGGTAAAGTAACAAGCACTGTATACAGAAAGAAGTATATGGGACTACACAAATGGTGTCGGGGCTATACAAGACTTGATTTCCTAATCTTTCTATGCTCATTACATAGCCAGTATACATTTTCTACCAAAATTGTTTGGCAAATGACATTTTGTTTTAAATCTTGAACATTTCGTGTAATTTTCGTTTGATTCTGTGAGAATCCATTTTCTTTTTTTAAAACCAGAACTCACCTTTAAACTCCGTTTCATTTACGATCAGCCATGCACACAGTCAGGGGCGTAAATCCCGGGGGCTGGGGGATGCACCCCCCCCCCTCCAGCTTGAAGGAGGGGGGATGGTCTGTACAAATATTCCCCCTGAGATTACAAAAAAAAAAGAGAGAGAAAAAAGGAAGAAGAAGAAGAATAAAAAATTGATTGTTTCAATTTCAGCATAATGCATGAAATGAAATGAGTTATTTTGTTTTAATGTATTTATAACTGTATAGCCTACATGTATACAATATGTCACGATCATTAAGAGTAGTTGCGCTACGTGCGCGAACAAGCACTTCATAAGCTTCAGAATAATTTTTCGTTGTTTTGCAAGGTATTATTATAGCCCAGCTGTAAAGTGCGCCAGCGCGCGAGCGCTTAAAAAGTGCAATCATGTACAGTAGATGCCCGGCTCCCCCACTCATTGTTATTTAGGGTACGCGTATTCTCGTTCCCTCCCTTTGAAAGCACCCCCCCCCCCCCTATCTCAGGACTGCCAACATTGCTGAATCCCCCTTTACGGCTTTTCGCTGGCTTTTCCTGCCTTGGAGACCCCCCCCCCCCAAAAAAAAAAAAAAAAAAAAAAAAAAAAAAAAAAAATCCGGAACACTGCTAAATGTACCACCCCCCCCTCCAATTTCAGGTGAGCTCTGGTCGATCGAGGGGACTAGGGGCCAATGTTTTTACTTTTCAAAATGAAATAATCGTGAATGAGCTTTCAAAGCTAGCAGGAATTTCAGGAATTTGATCCAGGGATTTGATAAATTAGTCCATGATATTCAAGATATTTTATAACCCCCTTTTTAAAGAAATCTACGGGTGATAAGTCAAATACACCCCCTTTGTATACAATTCTCGGGCCGGATTTTGTCGCGCGAAAAAGTACCCCTTTCCTGGAGATTTTAGGAACGCGCATGCGGTCCCTCCGACCCCGGAGTGTGTGTGTGTGGGGGGGGGGGGGGGTAGATGAAGACTGAAGTTCCAGACCTGGCGTGCTCAAGACTTAGAGTGGCCGTTTGTCTCTTCAGTTATTTCAAGGTAAACCTGTACACATTCTTATTATTTTTATATTTGAGAAAGAATTTGGCTGAGGAAATTAAAGAATTCATTAGATTCAGTTAATAAACACAGTAGATGTATCATTATAAAAATTCCAGAAACATTTGTTAAGAGGTGTGAAAACTGTGAACGCATCTGATTGAAAGTGATAAATAATACGCTCACTGTTACATTGCCAAGTCCTACTCGCTGGTTGCCATTTGTCCACACCTAAAACTTGTGTAGGTCTATGAATTAATTATTTTGTTGTTTGTATTGAATGAATTGAATTGAATTCAGATAAATAGGGCTTAATAAGAGTCAAAAACGGTGCAACGAATCGTCTTCTTTCTCTAATAATTAAATCAAACGTCTAAGCTTTTCGTGCTTCGCGCGGGAATGGGAAACTGAATTCAGACGAGAAATAAGAGTCGAAAACAGTACACCCAATCGTCTGCTTTCTCTAATAATTTAAGGAAACGTCAAGGCTTCCGCGCTTCATGCGAGAGGGGAAAACTGAATTCAGATAAATGGGGCTTATTAAGTGTCGAAAACGGTGCAACGAATCGTCTTCTTTCTCTAAAAATTTAATGAAACGTCAAAACTTCTTTTGCTTTGCGCGGGAGGGATAAACCGAATTCAGACAAAAATCGAGCACGGTTTAACAAATCGTCTACTTTCTCTAATAATTTAATGAAATGTCAAAACTTCCGCGCGGTAGGGGGAGGGCGGGGGGGGGGGGAACTGAATTCAGACAAGGATTAACAGTCGAGAACGGTACAGCAAATCGTCTTCTTTTTATAATAATTTAATGAATGCCAAAGCTTTCGCGCTTCGCGCGGGAGGGGGGGAATTTCATTCAGACAAGGGTTAATAGTCGAGAACGGTACAATAAATCGTCTTCTTTTCATAATAATTAAAGGAAACGTCTAAGCTTCTGCGCTTCGCGCGGTAGGCATATCACCAAAGAGATTCGATCATACACAGTATGTCCTCTTGAGGAGGACTAGAGGGCCAACTAAAATCGTGACCTTTGACTAGACGGATGCAGAAGCGGAGTTGAGACCCCGTGCCTATCACCCACACCCCCCCTAATGAGCGCGCTTCGCGCGCTCTTTGAGTGATGCGCATGCTCACTACCGCCCCTCCCTAAGATGAGATCCTAGCTCCGCGCTTGCATTAAAATATATAGCTATGATGCTGACTAAGTTGACGAAATATTTCGTATATTTATGTCGTCGAGGAAAATGACCATTTGCGCATACGCAAGTACTATAGATAGTCCGTAGGAAAAACAATTTAGCCTTCGGCCCCGGGTATATAGGGTCAAATTTGTAAATATTGGGACATTTAATTTTGTCGGTTATTGGGGCCAGTTTTGTCGGTAATCGTTGGCCTCTTCACCCTCCCCCCAACTAAAAAAGGTCTAGCGACGCCCCTGACCATTATACATTATTTTTAAGTGATGGGACTTAAAATAAAGAGTTCGCATCTTCCTGACGAAATACTCAATCTTTATGTTACAAATTGAAAGTGTGTCGTCTTATTTCGGAGTTCATTCATTATAACAAAACACTTCAGTTTGCAGCTGTCAGTATTTCGAAATATGTCCAATTCTTTTACCTTATGGTTGTCTAATTTGGCATGTGTGTGCATGCGTGTATGCATGTGTGTTTGGGTATGTGTGTGTTTGTTGTTTGTTCGTTAGGGTGTGCGTGTGTGTTGTGTGTTTGTGCGTGCGCGATCGCGCGCGCTTGCGTAAATTAGTGTGGGCGTGTGCTCGTGCTAGTATGTGATGGCTATCGCCGATCATCCCCCCCCCTACTCCCCGGTACGGATTTACGCCCCTGCAGACAGTAGACGAAAGACGTGATGCATGTATGATCGTCAACGAAACGGTTCTGGTCATGCGATTGCATTTTTAAAGAAACGGTGTGGAATCGACCAGAAAAGGTTGATCATCTAGCACACAAGGATTTGTGTGTATTTCAAGGTTCTGGAATCATCAAAATGGTAAGAAATTTGGCCAAGTCTTGGTAAAGTTACAAACACTGTACACAGAAAGATGCATATGGGACTACACAAACACGTGCCGTAAAAATCCTACCCTGGATCTTTACGATGTTACATGACAAATTTAATATATGAAGGCATTTGAAGAGCCATGCTTTTCAGGAAACTTGTCTGATCTGATGTTCTTCCACACTTGCATAATAAGAATGATAACGCTCACAAATTATTTTTCACCTCTTCCCAGAACTCAACCTTCTCTTCATGTCTTTTGTCAACTCTGTCGCTACGGCTGTCAGCCAGTGAAAAATAACTCGTTTAATCAAATTATGTTAATGCAGGCATTACTTTTTAAAAACAAACAGAACTTTGTTATTCCGGGCTAGTTTTTCCTGATTGAGGTGTCATATGAAAGGGCAGAAAATGGACTTTCTAGAAATGTAATTTCCTCTTTGAAATTCAGATACCGCCTGCCGAAAGACTTTTTGGTTTCCTCTCTTCAAATTGTTGTCAATCACACATGCGTGAAATATGCATCATAAAAGATTTGCATCATATGAAAGAAGTGGATCTAAGCTTTACAAATATGTGTCATTTATCAATTATAATCGTGATTAAGTATGATAAAGCATGGATAATTCTCGGTTTCGTTTTTTCTGGGACGCACTGTATAGATGAGTTGAGGAAGATATTTCTTGTCGTTGTATTCCATGAAAAAATGAACAGAGTAATGTACATCTATTTTACATTTTCATATCAAATATTTTTTCTTCTTCCTGACGAGAAAAGAAATCAGACTACAAGTAGTAATAGTAGAAGTAGCTCTATACAGAGCGAATTTATTTTTGTATTTCTTTTTATATAATATAAACAATAACAGACACTAATAAACGTAATGATATAACAGAAATGAGCATTGAAATATCTTTGACATTGTTTTTTGGTCATTGTAATGCAAAATAATTTAATTACAGGAAATGAAAAAAACGAACCTACTTGAAAGCAAAGCTTGTTAGATGTAGGTTCGCACAATAACAATTATACTTTATACATTTATAACTTAGTTTTGAGAAAAAAATAGGGACTCGGAAAGTGAAAATCCGGCTGGAAAATACCGTTCTTGGCTTTGGTAGGTGATAACATTTTGCTATTCTCGTGTGATAACTATGAAATTCAATATTTTTGTTAAACATATTTGAGAGAACTTGTGGCAATTCATTTTTTTCTAGTGTATACATAAATATACCCAAATTATAGGGGAAAAGTCATGAATCTTCAAAACATTATTTGCGTGAAAGATTCTATTAATGTAAAATGACTTTGTAAATACTTTGCAAAGTGACCCTCTCTACCAGAGCTGCGGCTCATTTTACATGTCCATGTACAAGTATACACAACGAACACCAAGCATTACAATCAATTAAATAAAAAAATGAATGGAACATAATATACAGCACGGGAAAAGATTTGCCTTTGTTTCTTATTCCTTAATACCGTCTAAAATGTCTTTAAAAATGTCCTAATAACATTAATATTTATTTGCAAAGAATTTGCAAAGAAGAAGCAACCATATTTGAAATTTGTCTCATGAAATCTTTATTTCTTATGCAAGTCTACAAGGTTTTGATTCAACAATGCAACTAATTTTTGTTTCAGTTTGTAGAAATGGTGGTGGAAATCGATTTGGATTGAACTGCGAGTTTCAATGTACTGTAACCAATGATCCTGCCACAAAATGTCATGGGTATCTTTTTTGCCTGCCTGATCCCTATGGATGTTCATGTGACGTCGGTGCCCATGGTCGGGCATGTACCACACGTAAGTCTTCCGATCTATTAATTTTGCTCAAATTGTATTAGTGAAAATACATGTATCTAGAGAAGGCCTAAAAGTTATCATACGAGTACATCTGCAATTCTCAGAAAATTATATGTTGTCTTGGAATATCAAACGCACATCCCATAGTGTGGCTGGATTCATGAATGATGTCATGCGCAACTCAGTGGAGAGAGGAGGAGGAGAAAAAGAAGAAGAAATAGAAGAAGAAGGAGAAGACGGAGGAGGAGAAGAAGAGAAATTAAATGAGAAGTTATTGTAACATGCACAATACTTTCCTTTCTTATGAATTTATTATAATCAATCCATCCTGGTTTTGTATTTTGAATTACTTTACAGTATGTACTATTGGTACATATGGTCCAGGATGTTCACAGACATGTCACTGTGCAGGCGGTGGTTCGGCATGTGATATTTATAGTGGAACATGTACAGGTAGATGTCTGACTGGCTGGTCTGGAGACAACTGTCAAAGTAAGTCATGGTCAGCAACGATAACAAATAATATGACATAAATGCTTTCCTCAAGTAAGATAATCATAATTTTAGATGTACACTGTAGCTTTTTTAATTTGTAACCCCTTTTCCTACAGGAATCTGGTGGCGCCTGTACTATACCTATTGTAAATAAGATAATTCATTGACAAATATAATCACTTTTAAAATAGGGTATTATACCTCCTTTTTTCGTAGATATACCCGCATCAAGTATATATCCTGGTATATACTATTTTCATGATTATTGATAGAGGAGATGAACGTTTTCTATAATTGAATGGATTCATCTAGTGATGGCACTGATACATTTAAGAATATGTGTAATAATTTTAATCAATTTTGCAAAGAAAAAAAATGCAGTCACTGGTTAAAATAAAAACAATTTTGAAATTAATAATTTGCAAAGAAAATAATTTGTTCAATAGAAGCAATCTGATTTTTGTGAAGTACATATAATATTATTTACTAGTAATAATTGCTAAATTTTTATTTCTGAAATATTTCTTATTATCCCCAGTTCCAGATGTATGTGAAGACGGTTACTATGGATCTCAATGCACTGATAAATGTCATTGCTTGAATGATGAACCATGTGGTAAAGATACTGGGGGGTGCCCTGGGCAGAAATGTGCTCTAGGATACAAACTTCGAAGTAGCCAGGTCAAATGTCAAGGTATAATACTATTTTTCAATAAAGGGTGTTGTATTTTCCATATCACTTTCTATTTATATATCTCCAGACTACACACAACATGTACATCAAGTATGGCGCAGTGTGCATGATACACCAGGATTGTTTTATGTACACATGTATGAGCACTCAGAAATCCATGTACATTTATGTTTATTGGTCATATCAACCAGCCATAATTATACACATAGTGCTGTGATAGTAAATACAGTATTGTAATGTATATTCTGGAGGAGGATTCTAGTATACAAATATTGACTGCTTTGAGGGGCATGTTGAAACTGTTGCCCAAGGTAAATTTGAAACTGTATGTACTCCGCCTCAAGAGTTAATCAAATTATGACCTCCAAAGTCAGCATTCATTATTTGGTGTACCATACTTGTTTCCTGTCATTATCCTACACTAACCAAGTTCTTAGCTACGACCCTTGAACTAACAGTGACCTGACCGTAACCCTAAACCTTAACTAAAACCAAATTGCAACCCGAATTCTAACCATACCTTTGATGAAATACAGCCCAAAATAATCGTCCCAGGAGCAAACGTCTGTAAGTGGTAACCAAGAGAACAGCAGATCTAGAGGTGGGCCCTGAACTGCTGGCTGCAACAGATTTCTAGTAGTCCTGGGGAGTGTTTCACAGAGACTAAGATCGAATTTAAGTAGGACTTAACTATGGCAGACCGTCCATGCCACTGTTTGCTCTCACCGTTTACTTGCATTTGGTTTCTCAAGGGACGTACAAATCATGGTCACAAATCTACAGAATTTACATTTTTGATAATCCATTATTGAAGGAAAAATGTTATCTAAAGATCATAATGGTGAGAGCAACCAGTGGCATGAATAGCCTACCATAGTTAAGTCCAACTTAAAGTCGATCTTAGTCTTTGTCAAACACCCCTCCCCCCCTCCCCCCTCCCCCCCCCCCCCCCCCCCCCCCCTCTATCTGGCCTTTACTTGTAAAGTTAAACTTACTCAGAAGAACTTAAGCCGGAATAAAAACTAATAATTTCACATGATATTAAAACGATTTGATTTTTGTTTACAACCCTGTTTCCAGTAGACCCTGACCAAAGTTATCTTTGCCTTTAGTATTCAATAATAATCATTGACCAGGGCCCGTCGCACAAAACTTACCATTGATGGTAACTTTGCCATAAATATTAACTACCATGGAAACCTTGATTATGATTGGCTGTTGAACATGATAGTTGCCATTGATGGCAAAGTTACCATCACTAGGGCCATTTACACTTGCATCGAAACACGTCAAAAAATGCCAAACCGGAGCCTGTTCGCGATGTTTCAGTGATGTTTCCAAGACAACTTCGCTTTACCGACAAAATTGCCAAGCCCGGAATATTCCAAATTGAAGCGTGATTTTTTGGCGTGTTTTGGCACGTTTGGCGAGTATTAATGCTCGCAGCTGAAACATCGCGAGTTTGTCACAAAATTTTAGGAGCGGGGCTAGCATTCGTCCTTGAAGCCTTATTTGTGTAAAGTAAACCAACTTGTTTACGCTGAGCCGCTACGAAAGAGTCTCAGCTAAACTGGGAAATCTTGCTTTGGAAACCATCAAATCAAATGATTGAAATGTCAAATTGAAGTAGAAGAGTTGTTTTAACTCATGAACATTGCAATTAGTTGTCAAACCATGTTTTAATATTTGAAAACTGAGCAAAACAAAGCACAATTTTGTTGTATTTTTTAAGCTCAAATGATTGCAGTATTTTTCATATTTTCGTCTTTACACCACATTGATACTTTAGTACGTGATAAATCAAATTATATTAAAGCTCTCCTCCGAATATCTTTTCATAACTCTTACGGGTACTGTGAAAATATTGTTAAGTTGCTGCAACTGTAACTCAATATAATTCACTGGACTGCAGCAGCCACAGCCTTAAAACAGCTCATCGAAGAAGCATTTTGCATGCGTGCATATTACCTGCCAAAACACGCCAAAACGTCACTGAGCTTTTGAGTCAGTGATTTTTCAGCACAAGTGTAAACGAGATCGCGAAACATGGCGATTTTTCGAAATGAGGTATATTTGACAGAATAAATGCACATAATGGTAAGATTTATGCAATGGGGCTCAGATGTTTCCAATAAACATGGCTTTTGTTTGAATTTTTTCAGAGTGTGAAGGGGGTACCTTTGGCTTGGATTGTCTTCAGCAATGTCATTGTGCTCAAGATGCTTGTGAGACGGAGAGGGGTCTCTGCCAGGGACAATGCATTGATAGCTGGATTGTACCGAGCTGCAGTCAAAGTAATTATACCTAGCAAATTGTATTCAGGCTTGTCTGCTTACCTTTCTTTCAGCTGAAAAAGGTTCAGATTAAGACCAATCTCAGAGTGCATATGGAGCTTTGTGTGCATGTATTTCATTTTGTTTCAATGTTATTCACAATCATGCTCCAGAAGCTTGTGGAGCAAGTACTTTTACTTCAGTTAAAGCTAATTTATGTGTAGAGCCCCATAAGCATGAGTACCTAGCGGATACCAGCGCTATATGAATAGCCATTATTATCATGAATATTATTATTGTTTGTTGCAGACACTTGAGCATAGTTTTAAAAAAAAATTGTATTAATTGTTTGCTCTGTATAAAATCCAATTTATATATGTTAATGAAGTTTCTCCTACACTCTACACGCAGTAAGCGGAAGTTTAATGTAAAAAAAAACCTTTTCCCCTCCAAATGAGTATTAGTTATTGGGTAAACTTTGCACAGTCATATATGTCTATAGCAATTAACCGCCAAAGGGAAACACAAAAAGTGGTCGCTGTAGATAGGTGGTCTGTTTTGACAGGTTGGCGTTGGGGCCTTTCTATAAGCCTGAAATCTAACAAGTCAACACTAATTTTTGTTTTGACCCTCGAAAATTTGAAAAATCGAACCCCTCCTTTGAACGCCAGGGGGAGGGGCCTAAAAAAAGAGTAAAATTAACGTGTTTTATTCCAGGGCGGAGCCCTCAGAAGCTCAGGGGTGTTATACATCAAATTATCGTCGGATGACCATAATTTGATACCTTATTTGTGACACTGGTATGTCACGAATTGGCGTGGGGTCCAGGGGGCGTAGCCCCCTGAAGCTCATGTGTTTTTGGCAATAAATAACGGTCAGATGAGCATATGTTATACCTTAATTGTGACACTGGCAGGACACAATTTGGTGTTGGGTCCAGGAGGCGGAGCCCCCAGAAACTCAGGGGTTTTATACATAAAATTATCGTCAGATCAGCATATTTTATACTATATTTGTGACACGGGCAGCTCACGAATTGGCATGGGGTCCCGGGGCGGAGCCCCCGGAAGCTCAGGGGTTTTGGGCAATAACTTACTGTCAGATGAGCATATCTTAATACCTTATTTGTGACACTGGCAGGACACAAATTAGTGTTGGGTCCAGAGGGCGGAGCCCCCAGAAGCTCAGGGGTTTTATACATTAAATTATCGTAAGATGAGCATATTTTATACCTTATTTGTGACACTGGCAGGACACAAATTGGTGTCGGGTCCAGGGGGCGGAGCCCTCAGAAGCTTAGAGGTTTAAACATCAATCTATCGTCAGATGAGCTTAATATTATACCTTATTTGTGACATTGGCAGGTCACGAATTGCCGTGGGGTCCAGGGGCGGAGCCCCGGAAGCTCAGGGGTTGTGGGCAATAAATTACGGTCAGATGAGCAAATTTGTATACCTTATTTGTGACACTGGCAGGTCACGAATTGGCGTGGGGTCCAGGAGGCGGAGCCCCCGGAGGCTCAGGGGTGTT